TTGTTACTTTAAATGTCGATTGTGTTATCGAGTATTTAAATGTTTAAATCACTTACATAATTCGGTTTTCGGTGGAGCATAATATTGTGGTAAACACAGAGTGCCATTAAACTCTGTGTTACATTACATACCTTGTTAGGTATGTTGTATTTACGGTACTTACACTTGCTTTTTTACGCAATTATTATATCCCTTAAGTGGTAGTCAGAAGTGTATCCTTCGTACCCCGAACTCAAATTTTTCACCAAATTAAGAGCATGAACCTGTTACAGGTAGCATAAACAATATTATGGAAAATATATATATTCCCGTGACGGAAAAGAGCTGATGAGGTGTAGATTATGTTATGCTTAGAAGTCTCGCTTCCAACTCGATCATGCAAATGAAACAAGGTGCGAAGCAAAATTACGTAAAAAGAAACAATCATGTTTCAATTGCGCACGTAAACAACAAGGAAGAACACACTGTATTGAAAGAAAATATTTATTTACAGATTTATATTTTGACATTAAACTGTTTTTTTTTATAGCATAAGCAGGTACGAGCAGACGGATCACCTGATGGTACGCAATTGGCGCCGCCATGGACACCTGGAACACCGTTACAAGTGCGTTACCGGCCTTTTGGAAATTGGGAATTTGAGGATTGTTGAGGATTCAGGGATTCGGGAGACTAGGGAGGGGGGTAATTGGGCCTCCGGTAACCTCACTCACTCGACGAAACATAACGCAAGCGCTATTTCACGTCGGTTTTCTGTGAGGCAGTGATATCACTGTTATCACTCCGGTCGAGCCGGCCCATTCGTGCCGAAGCATGGCTCCCACACTTAAATTTATAATTTTCCATGTAAATGTATTAAACCATTTATCATTTTCCTGGTAATCCTTTATCTTTTCTTCTTAACCTTTAATCATTCCTAAAAAATGAACATTCATTTATCTTTTATAAAGAAAAGCGATTCTTTTAAAAAGAAAATTCTAACACTTTTCCGATAAACAATTTACCTATTTAATAAATATCCACCTTCATTTCTTACTAGTTAATTAATTAATTATTTTGATTTAACAGAAGAATTTTACTGATTCTTGTTTCTTTTGTGTGTAATAAAAGAATGGAACCTTTTGTTTCTTTTTCTCTTTCAATCCCAGCTGTTTTATTCTCGTTCTGATTGTTGAATTAAACTGATAAATGGATTTTCCGTTTAATGCCTTAATCACCTATTATCTCTTAGCAATTCTTTGAACAAAGAAACCCAGGTTTTGTTCTTCGGATAAAACTTCAATTCTTTGAACAAAGAAACCCAGGTTTTGTTCTTCGGATAAAACTTACTTCTAATGTAATTACGGCAGATTTAAAAACGCTTAGATTTCGCTTTGTCCTTGAGTAAGGAATTATCTTGTACTTTGTGACTTTTGAGAGTAATTTTATCTTCATGGAAGTTTTATTGCTAATGGCTATACCATGACTTAACATAATAATAATATGTGTGTCCATTACATTTATATTAAAGTCTAAAGGGCCTCTGCGCAGTTGGCTTCGTACGCCTCCCAAATGACCGGAACCCTGTAGTCCCGTTAATGGTAGAGACATTTATAATAATATTATTTTTGCACACAATAATCTTTTTAGCAGTGACAAAAAAATAATTTAAGAATATTTTTTATATTATAACAAACCCACAACTTCGTCAGCGCAGAATATGAATTTTAGGACATAACTATCTTATGTTTGAATTTTCCAAAATAAAAGTAATCTGTTACTTCTTAGTACATCAGCTAATTGCCACTGAAAGTCTCATTAAAATCGGTCCGGCCATTCCAGAGATTAGCCAGTACAAATACAAATAGACAGATAGACAAAAATTGTATAAAATATTATCTTGATATGTGTATCGTATATACACACGTGTGTAGTAAAAAGAGGTTTAAATTAATCATATTACAAACAGACACTCCAACTTTATTTATCCTTATACATATGTAGATAGGCAACAATTTAAAATATTCCGTATTTACTTCTAAACTTAATATCCAAAAAAATACTTACGATTCTTATCAAAACCGCTATGACATTTGTTTCAAGACCGCAAACGTACTGTCTACTGCATATTTACATTCAAGTGCCTCAGAATATAGCAATCGGCAAAAAGAGCTCATAGTCTGTTCAGTATTCTGAATACATTATGTTATCTCACGAACTTGAACAGATTTACAAATTAACACCACGTTCCGGAGTGTGTTGAGAGGTACAGATTAAATGGCGACCCGTATCTCTTTATATTTTAGCAAGATGTGAATGTTTAAGCAACGTTTTCGTTTATTTTGTATCAACGGCTTCATTTGAGAGAGTTTGGGAACAAATGTTCTCTTGTTCTCTTTGTACTTTACTATTGTGGATGACAAAGTTTTTGGAGATGGACGGGTACTGGGTAGGGTTTTAATGAAGTTTTTGTTATGTAGATATCTGAGTGTTGATAAGACTTAATTTTAAATTCTTTGTGAAAAGACATTATTGTGGACCTACGGTTTATTTGAAGAAAGTGAAATTGTTTTTATAATAACTATCGCGAAACTAAGAATCGCGGGTTACTCACGTGAATATACTGAAGCTCTACTAGTGTCAGTAGGCTACGCGACATCACCACGTCTGCGCACGCTGCTCATGAGCAATTGAAATTATAATGTTTCAGTATTATTTTCTACCGACGTCAAATGTACGACAAAATAACAATATTTTTACGTTCTATTGTTCAAAATTTTGAAATAATTATTTCCAACTAATGTATGTTATTTGTAACATAACATAACATCACGCCTTTTATCCCCGAGGGGGTAGGCAGAGGTGCACACAGAAGTAACACTCACTTTTCACTATTTATGTTATGAGTCCCATGTAGAGGTAATAGGGGGTGAGGCTAATGCCATATACTGGGCACAATTCCAGACGCCGTGCTACTTTTTTTGTTTAAACCCAGTAATACTTTGTCCAACTCAGGAATCGAACCCGAAACCCCTTGCCCGGCGGTCGCACTTGCGACCACTCGGCCATCGAGGCAGTCTTGTATGTTATTTGTTGTTGTTTATACTAATAAATCTAAGTATTCTGCTACCAACCATTATTGGTTACTACCAAACCTCTATCAAATATTATTGGTTGAACATTATTGCATCCATATTCTTCAATGTTTTGATAACCTAATTTTGAAACGTGCCCTGTTCAAACTTCACTAAACATGGTTCACAATGAAAATTAGAGCAGCATATCTCATTTGATTGGTAGGCGAATGTTTGGTAAACTGAATCCCACAGGAGCCGAGCCTTTAGCAATCAATAGCTTTGATAACCAATCAAGGCCGTGATACGTGAAAATGCACTCCATTTTCCCGCCAACACGACTAAACAACATGGCCGCTGTTGTTTTTTGAAATTGGAACGCTTTGTAACAAATAGAGTGGTGGAACAGAGCTAAAATAAAATGCGTTCGAGATTTATTTTTCGTGTAACGTTACATTTTTTGTGAAAACAATTTGTTTGTAATTTCATACTCTTTTGTTGTAGGTGTTAATTTTCACAAAAGACTAAAATGTAGACTGATTTTTGAATCAATATTGCTGTTATACTACAAATATTTTATGATATATTTGATTGTGACCTCTAGGATATCTGTGACATTATAATTGAGCTCAAAACACACACGAAACTTAATTTAATGCACGACAACATAGCCGTAATACAAACAGAAAACTATACAAAGATAACAGAAAATACGCAATTGAAAAATTAATAACTCCACTTCATTAAGAACATTGGGAGAGTGCAATTAACAAACAATACAAAGGAACAATAAAATGGAACGAGTCAATCCATTTTCTTTCCTCCTTCACAATCAAATGAACTTTTCCAATATTCAGAGCGGTTTTTAACAATTAAAATGTAATTGGGTCCGTAATCAATGCTTTAGCGACATTCATTCAAATTAATAATTAATATAAATTAATTTTTGTTCAAGTTGTTTAAAATACATGTACTATATATAATAACTGTGTAGGACTTTTGTGGTTGATATTACAGTATACTTTAATTAAAGTCGTGGTGGCCCGGAGGTTAAAACCGATCAAATGAAATCTACCAACGGCAAGTACCAATGTGACTTTTTCCGGGTTATATGTACTTTATAAGATTGTCTAGAGACCACTGACAAACGGTGAAGGAAAATATGTTTTTTTAATGACATAGACCGGTAAACGAGCAGACGGATCACTTGATGGTAAGCAATCGGCGCCGCCCATGGACATCTGAAACACCAAGGTTTTACAAGTGCGTTACCGGCCCTTTGTGAATTGGGAATTTGAGGATTGTGAAGGATTCGGGGTTTGGGGAGACTGGGGAAGAGGAGTGATTGGGCTGCCGGTGACCTCACTCACATGACGAAATACAACGCAAGCGTTGTTTCACGTTCGTTTTCTGCGAGGCCATGGTATCACTCCGGTCGAGACGACTCATTCGTGCCGAAGCATGGCTCTCCCACACTTGAAATCGTGAGGAAACCTGGGCTTATAATTTCTAATTATAAGTTTGAAGTCGCCAACCCACATTGAGCAAGCGTTGTGATTAATGCTCAAACCTTTTTCGTGCGAGAAGAGGCTTTGCTCAGCAGTGGGCACTTATAGACTGTTGATGATCACTTTAATATAACTTGAGAGTAGTAGTGGGTATTAAATTAAAAGTTAAGTTAAAGGGCATTTAAACAACGTGACATTCCACTTTATTATTAGGTAGCCTTTGTCTTTTGCTTAATTTGCCTGGTCCTTAATTACCCTTTGTTTTATAACATAATATGTTAATAGTTTTTAACCGACTTCATTTGACTCATAGTTTCATCCTAATTTCTTTCAACAGACTTCAGTTTAGCTTGACCACTATTTCACCTGATGGTAAGCGATGATGAGGTCTACGATGGATCTTCTAACTATATCTACAAGAAATGGCAGTGCCACTTACCGGAGCGCTTAGTGTGGTGGCCGTAGAGCCTGTTGAGGTCCAGGGCGAGGACAGTATGTGGCAGCGCGCAGCTGACTGCTGCCAGCGCCGCCACGCACGCCGCTACACGGCACGAAGACATTTCTGCAACAAGAAAATGTAGACAGTTTAATAATAATATCACAGTCAAAATCATTTATTTCAATTGGACCAGAAAGGCACACTTGAACGTCAAAAAAAAATTATACGTGAATTTGCTCATTCCAAGGTGTAGATTCCTATAGAGAAGAACGAGCAAGAAATATCTCTCCATAGGTTACTCTTTTTCAATCAGGTTCACAATACAATTCTCTAATATTTTTAAAGATAGATAGATGTGTGGAGATAATGGAACAGAGCACCTTTATTTCGTGGTGAGACCACAGAGGACATATTAACTTTAGCACTTATTATATCACCCGAAATTAAAAAGAAGTTTTTATATTTACACAGTTCATCGTAGAACTATAATCTTATTATAGCCCTTACATAGGGCCATTTGCCATAATCTCCACGAATGAAGATCGCAATCGAGCCATTTTTTAAGGGGTGAAACTCTTCGAATGTCTTCTCTTGCCGTAGTGTCAGTCTTTTACTGACTAAAAACCACCCCAATCCTACTCCTGCCCTTCAAGCCGGAGCCCTGGCAACGCGGCTCCGTATCGGCTTCGGTCCTATTGGGCCCTATCCGTGGTGATATGGTGCTAATATGAATCTCTCGTTCTTCGTCCAATAGGGTAATAAGCTATCGTCAGACCATTGGACGTTTAATATTTGACAACTGCTTTGATTGGACTACAAATCTCTTCCTATTTTTGTGCCATCTGGTCACCAAAAATACTGTAGCCCCTATTCAAAAGGTTCTAGTATATAACAGAGCTCTAGTTTCCGTACTTTGTTAAATGTGTTGTCAGCTATTACGTCACCTGTAGAAAAGCTTTTTTTAAGGGGGAAAATCATCGGATGGCTGCTCCCGCCTGGGTGAGGCTGGAGGGAGTGTCAGACTTTTACTGACTAAAAACTACCTCGTTCTTTCTCTTGCACGTCGAGCCGGAGCCCGGGTAACCCGTTAGGTTCTCCGCGACACCTGTAGAAATGCTAAAAGTAGTTGGTGACTCAACTTTCTAATTTTACCATCACCACAAGGCTTTACAATGAAATATACTTCTACAAAATAACTCCGCATTTAAATTAAATTCACACCAAAGGTTTTCAAAACATAATTTAAGTGTTAACCTCAAACTAAAGTTTTATTCTTGTACAAGTTTACAAGAATTAGACCTTACTGAGTAACTCATTTACCCAGAGTACAAACTTGAAGCCTTTCCACCTCAAAACTTGGTTGTTACCGATACCTCACCAAACAAAACTTGGCCCAGGTTACTTGGCTTTACAAACTCAGTGAAGATACAAAACTTTCCAACATTCAAGATAGTTAATTAATAACAATGTTCCAATTATGTTAGGATTAGTGAACAAAGATGTATAGAATGTTCTCGTAAATGTTTATCATGATTTGTAATTCTGGGCAGGGTGTAGTTGAGAGTGGTGGCTAAATAAGAATATGTAATTGTCAGTAGACTATTTCGTAACTTGATCTGTTCAAACTAGTTGATGCGTCATAATTATAGTGAAATCATTAAAAAAATTAAAGCGTCAATGTAATAGGTAGTGTAAGAATTGCGTTGGCGCAAAAGGATTGTTAAGCGAATTGTATTAAATCTTTTTTTAAGGGAAAAAATCATTATTCAAGTGTGGGAGATTACCGAAAGCCCAATTACCCCCTCTCCCCAGTCTCTCGAATCCCCGAATCCCCCACAATCCGCAAATTCCCAATTCGCGAAACGCCGGTAACGCATTTGTAACGCCATTGGTGTTTCGGGTCTTTATGGGCGACGCCGATTACCGTTTGCTCGTTTACCGGCTTATCCCATATAAAAAATTCAGTGACTTCTCCCTCTTTGGGTGATACGAGATGGAGTGTCAGACTCTTAAAGGCTTAAACCACCCCGTTTCTTCTATTACCCTTCGAGCTGGAGCCCCGGTAACCCGTTAAGTCTTCCGTAGCTCATATACATATTGGTTTACTGCAAATTAACTGTTGTACGTGAGTGGCTCTTACATAATTAGGTACCTACCTGATTTTGAACAATATTCTAATAATATCAGTATAAATCTTCACAAAAATTCTATAAAATTTCACCTTAGACAAAGGTTTGATTATAGTTGGTGTTGATTAACAATTTGTTCGTGCCTTAGTTTGTCTATTTTGATAAAATTTCTTTTGTTTTAACATCATTATTCCAATTTAATGTTTTACTTCGAAGAATTCATAAGTAATTAGTATTTAATTTAACTTTTCTTGTCTTGGCATCTGACATTTGTTGATTGACGGCGGTCTTAGTTCTAATATCTTTTAAACGAAATATTCCTTATGCTATAATTTAATATAAGATAAAAGATAAAGAATGTTTCCTTTGAACGTGGTTGCCAATATATTGTAACTTTGTTCACGTGACTGTCAATATCAGGCGAGCTTCGAGCATTTTAATATCGCTAAAGATGAGAAAATGTTTCTCTGCACGATTATATAGAGTTTACGGACCACAAAATCGTTCAATGAAAATGAAAAAAAGAAAGGATAACAAAAATAAAACAGAAACAGAAAACAATTTAATATATAAATCGACCATGAAGTTATCATTTGACTTTTACATTAAGGGTCTGTTTCACAAAATCTGCAGCTGTAGCCAAATGCCATTTAGCGCTTGTCTACATGTAGAATAGAAAACCAAATTATATGGAATTGACGTAAATTTTGACATTTAACAGTGTCATCCCCTTACATTTAGCTTTCTACTCTCTCTGTAGACAAGCGCTAAAGTGGCGTTTGGCTAGAGGCCCTGGATAGCCGTTATCTACCAGATAAATTTGAATTAAGAACGAAATTTGTATGAACTATCTGTCACATAAGTTTATCAGGTTTATAGAGGTGGTGAGACCGGCGCTTAATGTTTAACATAACATAACATCACGCCTTTTATCCTCGAAGGGGTAGGCAGAGGTGCACATTATACCACTGTACAATGTGACACCCACTTTTCACTATTTATGTCATGAGTCCCATGTAATAGGGGGTGAGCCTATTGCCATAATACCGGGCACAGTTCCAGACTCCGTGCTACTACTGAGATTTTTTTAAAAACCCAGTAATACTTTGCCTGACCCGGGAATCGAACCCGGGACCCCTTGCCCGGCAGTCGCAATTGCGACCACTCGGCCAACGAGGCAGTCTTAAGTAGGCGCTTAATGTTTAAACTGTTATTACACCTAATTTAGTATTCAAATCATAACCTTTTTATAAATTAAATTCAGACAGTTAAAGACAAAAGTACAGCTAACAAATGTACATGTAAATATATAATATTAATTTTATACATGTGTCTTACATTTGCAACTCATTATACGGTTTGTTTCTTTACAGAGTTTTAGAAGCAAGCTTATTCAAATACAGCTAATTAGGGATCACGTTACAGCTGCTTACAGTTATTTTTCTTCTATCTTGAGTTGTATAATCGTTCCTGCAAAAGCGTTCCTAAAAAGGATGTAACATTTTAACATTACATCACGCCTTTTATTCCCGAAGGTGTAGGCAGAGGTGTACATTTTACCACTGTTACAATGTAACACCCACTTTTCACTATTTATGTTATGAGTCTCATGTAATACTGAGTTTTATTTTTTCAATTAATAATCTTTGCCCGAGCCGGGAACCTCGGCCAACGAGGCAGTGCATATGTTAAGCAAAGTCACAGAGGTATTATCAAAGAGAATTCACATTAAATCCTTTTTACAAAGAATTGTAAAAGCTGTGCAACACACTAAAATTTCCATTAGGTAGCAGACTCTTCGTTAAAAAAAAAGAAAAAGAAAAGTGTTGCCCTACTTTAAAATTGTAATAAAAAAGCAAAATGGCGTTTATCCATAAATCTGGCAACTCGTTAATTAAAGTAGCTTTACAAAGTAATTATAAGTTGGTAGAACATTGAGATGCTGTAGCTGATCTCTTGAGACTTAAATCATGGGAAGTTTAAAGTATACTCGAGTCTCTGCTCGTGTTTTGTTTATGTTCAAAACTTGTTTTTTGTTGTGTTTTGCTGCAAATGTTTATGAGTTGTTTTGTTTCAAGTGCATTGTATTATCTGTATAAAAGAAACATGTTTAAAGCATTCGTTGGAACCAGTTAGAACAGTGCTTTATTTATATGTTAGTTTTTTGTAAAACGTTGTGTATGGAAAACCATTGCCCGCGACTGTGTCCGCGTTGAATATCAATTTGAGACAATATTTTTTTTGTTTCAATTTTCCAAAACAAAAGTAGCCTATGTTACTTCTTAGTACATTAGCTACCTGCCAATAAAAGTTCTGTCAAAATCGGTCCAGCCATTCCAGAGATTAGCCAGTACAAACAGACAGACAATATGTAGAAAAAAAATATTTTAGCATGGGTATCATAAGAATAAACTATTTTTACTTTATTCGTATGAATAAGTATGTACCTATATTCATACGAATGAAGTAAAAATAGGTTATTTTAATATTACAAACAGACACTCCCATTTTATTTATCTGTATAGATTAATTAGCCTTTTATTTTATGAAATACTTATAAGCGATTAATAGAGCGCATTAGGAAGTACATACATTCGTAAAAGTATTAACTTATTCAAATTTTAAAAGAATTTCAGACTTATAGTAAATGTAGGTTTCCTGCCGATAACTTCTCAATTTTACCAACAAATCCTGAAACTACGTAGAACCTATTTCATGCAATTTGCAGGAGCGTAGACAGAAACCTTCCCACGTCAGCGTCAAGGCAATCTTGCAAAGTTCCTCGCTGAAATTCAGGCGTGACGTAGCTCTGAATCCAATTTCCAGTTAGACGGGAACTAATGCACTGGTGCGGTGTATGTACTTGCTTCCGATCGAGTACTGACGCATGGCTACGTCACTAGCTATTTGTGAAGATTTCTTTTATAGTTAGATTGATTTGTCGATTTTGTCGTTGCCAGTGCAACTACTGAGTGAGGATTGCTAAGTTATT